AAGTGCCTGCGCAGTTTTGTGCTGGCCAAAGTGCTCGCTCTCATCTACCGGCAGGGAGTTGCGAATAGCGAAGCGAGCGTGGGCGTCACGAGTCTGCCACTGTGAGCGGGCAGTACTGTCAGCAGTAGCAGCAGGGGCAGCAGCATGGCCTAGTGCGTGATCGTACAGCGAGATATCCTCCTTGGCAGTGAGCTGGAGGAACAGGTGCAAGTCATCTAGCCAGGTGTCAAACTTCAGCGGGCGGCCCTCAGCATCGAAAGCGAGTACAGCAGGGCTAGCCATAGTTGCAGTAAGAGCAGTAGGAGTAGTAGCAGCAGGAACAGCAGTAGCGTCAGTAGCAGTGACAGCAGCAGTGGCGCGGCTCGGTAGGGCGGCGCGGCTCGGTAGGGCGGCGCGGTTCGGTAGGGCGGCGCGGCTCGGGCCGGGTGACGCGGTTCGGTGGGGCGGCTCGGCTCGGCTAGGCGGCGGCTACTCGAGGTGGGGCACGCAAGGGCGTGCGGGGCCGGTCCGCTCGGGGCACGAAGTGGCGAGCTAGCGAGGGCGGGGCCGGTACACGAGGGGCACGCAAGGGCGCGCGGGTGGGTGTGGGCCGGTCGCACGGGGCACGCAAGGGCGCGCGCTAAGGGGCGGGGCCGATCCTTAGGAGGCACGCAAGGGCGCGCGGGGCAGCGAGCACGCGGGGCCGCACGGGGCTCGAATAGGGCGCGCGGGGCAGGCGACGCGCGTGGTGCTGCGCGAGTCGCACGCTAGGGCGTACGAGGTGGGCGGGGCCGATCGCACGGGGCACGCTAGGGCGTGCGGGCTAGGTGGGGCCGATCGCGAGAGGCGCGCTAGGGCGCGCGATAGTGAGAGAGAGAGAGGAGGGCGCTCGAGGGCGCAACTAGGCGAGGCGCGCTAGGGCGCGACTATGCGAAAACGGTGGGCCCTTCGGTCCTGGGTTACGACCTAGGCTCGCGATACCATGTTAGAAACTGAGAGAGAACGAGAATGATGAACTAGAAACAGAATGGAGTACAAGTACCACAAACCTAGAGTAGTGTACCCCCTAGAAGGCTAGCCCACTATAGCCTACACAAATATAACAAGTATAATGTTTGACATATAGCGCAACTAAGCAAACGGTAACGCGGTGCGTGCGAGCTAGCTAGTGCGATGCTGGCAGCAAGGTTCGGGCTAGTCCCGAAGCGTAGGAAGACTCGGGCCAGTCCAGCGATGTATGGTTTGGAAATTGTGACGCGCGAAGGCGGCAAAACACTATTGCGGAGATAACTAACACAACGGGAGCTTGACTACGGGGAAGACACGGGGTGTTGCGGTGATCTCTGCGTTCCTTAGTTGTTTGCTCGTGCTCACACTACCTGCGCATTCACAAGGAAATTTTGGCAAGAGTTTCACTAGCAAATATTGACAACAATGGTACACAATGCAAAGCAACAATAGACTACATCAGATGCTAGCAAGCATGCAGGCCGACTACCAGCACAGCACGGCCGACCACGTTCCAGCACTGCATGGTCGACCGCGCTCCAGCAGTGCAAAGTCGCGGTCTGCCAACGCTGCAAGTCAAAGGCGTGACAACGCTGCTGCAAGGCGGCTGCACAGCGTTGCACCCGCAGGACAGCAGCGCACCTGCTTCGCAGGTGCTCGCAGCTGGTTGGTGTGCTGTGCCTCGTCACGTTCACAGCGCAGACGTCAAGCTGACCATGTGCCCACGACTGGACCTGATCCTCCACGTCGACCTCGGGATACCACATCGAGGTCGGCTTCGCAATAACCTCATGGGCGACTCTCGCGCACCCCGCAGCGCCCGTCGCTTGGGTAACTGTGTCGACTGGGCAACCAGATCGGCTTGTAGGCGCCCAGGACGCCGTCCAGACGCCCAGGTCGGCGTTTAGGCGCCCATGACGCCGTTCAGACGCCCAGGTCGGCGTCCAGGCGCCCAGGACGCCGTTCAGACGCCCAGGTCGGCGTCCATGCGCCCAGGACGCCGTCCAGACGCCCAGGTCGGCGTCCACGCGCCCAGGACGCCGTCCAAACGCCCAGGTCAGCATCCAGACGCCAAGGACGCCGTCCAGACGCCCAGGTCGGCGTCTAAGCGCCCAGGACGCCGTCCAGACGCCCAGGTCGGCGTCCAGGCGCCTAGGACGGCGTCGCCCACTGCAGCAGGTCGGTTGCGCTCCCCGCACACCCGACTACGAAGTCGGCTCCGCCCAAGCGAGGACGGGGCCAACACACAACTCCCGTTGACAACTATTAGCAGTAACGGGCGAAGAAACGGTCGGTCCTGTACGCGATGTTGAGATGCGCGGTAATGCTGACATTTTTCCTTACACTACCCAACCACCCCCACCCCCAACCCCCCAAAGTAGCCCCTCCGCTATATACACTTAGAGGACAGGATTGTGCTCAATGTTGCTCAGGGGCACCCAGCTGTCTTCGGTGGGGGTGCGATCCTTCCAGCGGAGGAGGAATTCAATCCTCCGAGATCCTTGGGGGGTGGCAAATTCGATGGCTCAAGATTTTCTCGGGGTCGACGATCGGCTCCGATGCAGGACGCGTCATCGATGGTGGGCGATGGCGTGGCAGTTGGCTTGTGGTCGGGATGTATGGCCGAAGGAGGGTGGCGTGGAACGACGGGCTGATGTACCAGTCGGCGGGTAGCAAGAGATGGGCGGTGACGGGCGTGATCACGTGGCTGGTCCCGAACATGCCACAGTAGCGCGGGAAGTTTCGGCACGACGGGCAGGCATAAATTCAGGGTGTCGAGCAGCACGTAATCTCCTGACTGGTACGTGGCGATGGTGATCGACGTGCCTTTTGGTGGTGATGTTTGCCTTTTTAATTGCGTCTGCTGCGCGTGTTCGGGCAGCCTGCAAAATATCGGCGAACGGTTGCGCACGTTGTGTCAGGTTGTCGAGGTTCGGCGTCATGGGCACTGTGGGGTTTTGCCACTAGTTGAGGTAGAATGGCGAGTGATGCGTTGTTGCCGACGTGGCGTTGTTGTAGGTGAACTCGATCAGCGGCAACTGTTGCTCCCAAGTTGTCGGGTCGTCACACGTGGCGCAAATCAGCTGCTCCATGGTCTGGTTCGTTCTCTCCGTTTGACCGTCAGTTTCGGGGTGGTACGACGAGCTGAACTGTACACAGGTCCCGAACTGCTCCCACAAGTTCCTCCAGAATTTGCTGGTTAACTTCGTGTCGTGGTCGCTGATGATTGTGGCTGGTATCCCGTGCTGACGAACGACGGTTTCTTCGCCTGAGATCGATTTCCTGCACGCAGCGAAATGATCAATTCTTGTCAATCGTTCAACGACGACCATGGCCGTGTAGTTACCACCGGGGCCCGTAGGTAACCCCGTGACGAAATCCATTGTTACTTGCTGCCAGGCGCGCTCGGGCGGCGGGATCGGCTGCAGTTGACCCGCTTCCTTTTTGCGCGAGCTTTTCATCCCCTGACACGTGGGGTACGATCCCGCGTCATGCTCTCCGTCCGTCAATAGCTCCGACCAATAGTAATACTGCACTTGCTCTCGCGTTTTTTCAACCCCAAAGTGACCCAAGGTAATTCTGTCGTATGCCTCTTGCAGTAGCAGTGCGTATGCTGGTACCCAGATGCGGTTGGCGCCAGTTTTTACATAATAAGCTCCCTTAGCCTCTGTCAGCTGCAGCGAATCACGAATGGTGAAAAATGGGTCGGTGCGATAGCCGTGGGTGAATAGTCCAGTACGTAGCGGATTTGTTTGGGCGAGTAGTATGGCATGCAGTTGGGCTATGGGGCGGGTGAGGGCGTCGGCGATATTTTATACCTTTTTTTTACGTTACGGTGTAGTGGAAGGTGGACTCCATACAGTCTAACCACTGTATCTGTCGCGGATTGAGGTTCGGTTGGGCGCGAAGGTACTGTAGCGAGCGATGGTCTGTCTGTACTATCATGTTTGCTCCTGTCATGTAGCACCGCCACACCTTGAACACGTGCACTATCGCCAACATTTCGCGGTCGTGTATCGGGTAGTTGCGCTCGGGCGGGTGAAGCTTGCGAGACTCATACGCGATCGGCTGAAGGCCATTCCCGAAGTCCTGCAACAGTTCAGCTCCGACGGCGATGTTGCTTGCGTCGGTGACGAGCTTGAACGGACGGTGAGGATCGGCGGAAGTCTTTGTTCTTTGTTTCTTCTCTTGACTGGTCTTGTGACCGCCTGTTGTGCTTGCTATCCCCCACTTCGCCTATGGGGGTGTGTCACACAATATTGTGATGTTAGGCTGTAGTGGGTCATGTTCTATGGGGTACAACCCAATTAGGGTAGGTACTTGTACTCAACTTCTACCTAATGCATTCATTCCTGTTCACGCATTCTAATAGAGAAGTCGGTGGTGTTGCCGCTTGGGTCGAATCGGGGCAGGCCGTCGAGAGGGAGCTTCAAATGGGCCAAGCAACGTGGCGGAGACAGAGATGTGGGAAGAGCAGCAGAAAGATCCAGCGGGACATTCTGGAGGAGCAACGTTTGCTGAGTCGGATTCGAGTGGCCGACGATAAGAGATGGACGTGGACCCGGGCTTTCTAGTCCATCTGGACGAATCAGAGGACGGTCTTCAACCCCCCGTAGATTCTCATATGGGGGCAGTGTGTTTCTGCCCACTCACGCTCGGTTACGACCGATATTGTTAAGTATGCATCTGTGTTTGCGGTGTACACTTTTCAATAATAATAAATAATAATAAAAAGCCGAAACGAGTTTCGCGAGGGCAAGGCGGTGTAGGAATGAGGTAGTTTTGGACAATGGTGTAGGTATTCTAAAGAATGTACGTATGGTATCATACCAAAGAGAACCTTGTAGCGGATAACTATTCATTTGTTTCTCACCTTCACTTCCCGAGGATCCCGGCGGACCTCACCTGCGAGATCCAACACCGAGATCCAAGGGCGAATCTGAAGTGTGCCCTCATTCCAATCCCACCACCTCGCCTCCCACTCCCGCTCACCGCACTCCACCGCTGCTCCCATGGACGCGCTCCGCCAGGCCGTGCGCGACGCGGCGCTGCGGCTGCCGAAGCCCGCGGGCGTGCCGCTGTCGTACGGCACGGCGGGGTTCCGCCACGACGCGGCGCTGCTCGACTCCACCGTTCAGCGCTGCGCGCTGCTGGCGGCGCTGCGATCGCTGCAGCAGGGCGGGCGTGCGACGGGCGTGATGGTCACCGCGTCGCACAACCCTGCGAAAGACAACGGCGTGAAGATCGCCGACAGCAACGGCGGCATGCTGGCCGTCGCGTGGGAGGCACACGCGACGCGGCTCGCCAATGCGGCGACTGCGGACGACCTGGTGCAGGTGCGCGGCGCGTGACTGGTTCAATGTGACGATAGCGAGAGAAGCGCAGGGCAGCAATGCAGGCTGGCAGTGCGGGTGAGCTATTAAACAGTGACGACTCTTTTGAGAATTCTCAAACGGATGGTGAATGTACCGCATGCAGCGAGTCGTGACGAAGCGTTGGGGGCTGCTCGTGCCGAGGAGAGGCATAGGCGCGTGGTTCGACGGGGAACGAGCAGATGCTTGTGTCTCAGCTGCTTGCAAGCGGTGTGTTCGCTAGCATGGGGAAGCGAGCGCGCATGTGGGATGCGTCAGTGGGCGCCTCATGGACGATCCAATGGGTGTTGTGTGGAGTGGAGCAGCGGGGGTGTGGGGGGCGGTGCAGTGTGCGTGTGTGTATGCGGGGAGTGGCATGGTTGGATCAGAATGAACGGGCTTGGGGTTCGGTGCAAGTCCCTCTTCCATGTGCGCGTGCGTGCCTTTCCGTGCTTATGAGCAGGCAGTGGAGGCGATAGTGCAGGAGGAGGGAGTGCCAGTGGGCGACGCCACAAGGGGGCGCGTGGTACTGGCGAGGGACACCCGGGAGAGCGGTCCCAGGCTGCTGGACGCCGCACTGCAGGTCGGATACGCCCAACGCTCAAGTGACCCACTCGTATCCTGCTCCCTCCAGTTCCTCTCCTTATTGAGAACCTTGCTCACCGCCATTCCTGCCATTGCTGCTCCTCCTGCTCCTCCTGCCTCTCCTGCTCTACCCGGTATTCACAACCATGTTATCCTGCCCTTAAAGCTTTTCCTGGCCCGCATTCCCTCCCTCCCTCGCTCCCGTTCCTCCTCCCCACCTCCCCCCTCCCCCTCCCTCCCCCTCTCCGTCGCAGGGAGTGGCGCTGGTACCAGGAGTGACCCCAACGGCATGCGCGCTGCTCACCACCCCCCAGCTGCACTGGCTCGTGTGGGCGGCCAACCGCCAGCCCCCCGCCTCGCCCCTGCTGCCCTCCGAAGACCTCTACTTCTCCACCCTCGTCTCCGCCTTCACAGCCCTGCTCCCCGCATCCTCCTCTTCCCCTTCCCCCTCCGCCGCGCCTTCCCCCTCCCTCTCCCCCTCCTCTTCCCCCGCCCCCGCGCCCTTCCCCTGTCCGCCGCTGCTGGTAGACGCGGCCAATGGGGTGGGAGCGCCCAAGCTGCAGCGGCTGGTGGAGGAGGTGCGGGGGAGGGCGGGCGTGGCGCTGGCGGTGGCGGTGCGCAACACAGGGGGCGAGGGCGAGGGGGAGCTGAACGAGGGCGTGGGGGCGGACTACGTGCAGAAGGAGCAGCGCGCACCCAGGGGGTTCGGGGGGGAAGAGGACATGGCGCACAGGTGAGGGGGGAGGTGTGGGTGGGACTGGAGGTGCACAGGAGGGAGCGGTGGGGTAAAAGCAGCTTCTCATCTGCTGGGTGTCTGGAGCGGAGGTGAGGTGCGAATGGGTTGAACGAGAGAGAGGGTTAGTGAAACTGCTTTATCATGTGCTGGAAACACCTCCTTTTGCCATTATGTGCCCACAGCACCTCCCTCCCAGTGCAATACTGATCCATAATCCCCTGCTCTCTCGCCCTGCCTCATGGCAATCTTCTCTCACCTCGCCGGCACTCACTCACAACCGAACCCCCCCTCCCTCCGTTGCCTTGCCTCTCCACCTTGTGCGGTGCCCACGTGCAGGTGTGTGAGCTTGGATGGCGATGCAGACCGCCTTGTCTACTTCTTCCACTCTCCTCCCTCACCCACCACCACCACGGCTACCACTGCTTCACAACCCTCCTCCTCCCCTGCCCCCTCCCTCGCCCCGCCTGCCTCTGCCCCACCTACCTTCCACCTGCTAGACGGGGACAAGATAGCAGCGCTCTTCACCTCCTTCCTCGTGCACACCCTCCGCGCCATCTCCCCCTCCCAGCCTCCCCCCCCCGCCTCCGCCTCCGCCCTCCCCCCCTGCGCCTGGTTCGCCCTCCCGTCCTTCCGCGCCATCTCCCTGGGCGTGGTGCAGACGGCCTACGCCAACGGGGCGTCAACGGCGTATCTGGCATCGCAGCTGGGGTGTGCGCCGGCAGTGGCACGCACAGGCGTGAAGCACGTGCATGCCGTGGCGGAGCGGTGGGACGTGGGGGTGTACTTTGAGGCGAACGGGCATGGCACGGTGCTGTTTGGGGAGGAGCTGCTGGCGTGGCTGCAGGCGCAGTCAGAGACGGGACTGCCGGAGGGGTCTGGTGAGAATGGGGGGTGTCGCTTTGGGGAGTGGGGGAGTGTGGGAGTGTGGGAGTGTGGATGCATGGGGGTGTACTTTGAGGCGAACCGGCATGGCACGGTGCTGTTTGGACATGTGCTGCTGGCGTGGCTGCAGGAGCAGACTGAGAAGGGACTGCCGGAGGGATCGGGTGAGTTGGAGGGTGCGGGTGTGAGGGAGTGAGGGATTGCGGGGTTGAAGGACTGTGGGAGTGAGGGTGTGTGGTAATTGAATGCGGGAGTGTGGTGTGAGAGTGTGGTGTGGGAGTGCGGCAGCGTGCATGCTGTTTTGTTGGTGGGGGAATACGGTGGAAGGGCTGGTGGTGCTGCGCTGGATTCTGGAAGCTGCAGGGCACATGGGTACAAGGGGATGAGCACCGTGCTGCTGCCTGTGTGTGCTGCAGGAAGAAGCTCTGCCACTGCGCCCTACTAACTCCCTCCACACGTTCTTCTCCCCATCCTCCCCTTCCGCTTGCATCATCCCCCCCCCCCTCCCCCTCTCGCAATTCCCCCCAATTCCCCTCTCCTCCTCCAGCCCTGCAGCGACTGGTAGCGCTGAGCATGCTGTGCAACCAGGCGGTGGGCGACGCACTGGCGAACGTGCTGGCAGTGGAGGCGGTGCTGCGCTGCCAGGGGTGGTCGCACCACGAGTGGAGCCGCATGTACCACGACCTGCCCTCGCGCCAACTCAAGGTCTCCCGCCTGGGCATTGGATGCTGCCATGGCATGGGGGCGAGGGTGCTTGTCATTCTGGTCTGTGTCACGTCGTTGCATGAGAGTGCCACGAGTGGAGCTGCATGTCTGTGGCACCCTCGCCTCGCCTCGCGCCAACTCAAGCTCTCACGCCTGCGCCCCGCGTGGGTGGTAATGCTCGCCATGAGGCGCCACTAGATGTTGGCGCGGCGAGGGTGCCAGCACTAGATGAATAGATGAATACCAGAGTGTGTGCCAATCCATTCATTCTCTCCGACACAATGAATGTGCCGCCTGAAGTCGCGAGTGTGTGCATGCTCGCCATGCCATCGGCCTGCATGCTGCCTGTGCTCCCGCACGTTCCATTCTCACCGTCCCCCCACCTCCCCTCCGCCCGCACCTTCCCTACACCGTCCTGCCTCCCCTTCCTGCCTCGCCATGCCTGGCTGCGTGCATGCACATGTCAACTATCAGGTGCGCTCATGACCCTCCACACCACACTGCACAACCAGGCCACACCATGCTTCCCCGCGCTTTCAAGGCCTCTCCAGCCCCATTCTCCCCACCCGTTCTCCCCACCCGTTCTCCCCACCCGTTCTCCCCACCCGTTCTCCCCACCCGTTCTCCCCACCCGTTCTCCCCACCCGTTCTCCCCACCCGTTCTCCCCACCCGTTCTCCCCACCCGTTCTCCCCACCCGTTCTCCCCACCCGTTCTCCCCCCCCGTCTCCCCCCCCCATTCTCCCCCCCCATTCTCCCCCCCCTGTTCTCCCCCCCCATTCTCCCCCCCCATTCTCCCCCCCCTGTTCTCCCCCCCCATTCTCCCCCCCCATTCTCCCCCCCCATTCTCCCCCCCCTGTTCTCCCCCCCCATTCTCCCCCCCCATTCTCACCCCCCGTTCTCCCCCCCCATTCTTCCCCCCTGGTCCCCCTGATGCACACCAGGTGCGAGTGGCAGAGCGCAGCATGTTTGTGCCGTGTGGCGATGACACCAGGCTACTGGAACCCGCTGCTCTGCAGGCCACCATCGATGCTGCTCTTGGTACGTGCGTGCACTGCGCCTGCTGCTGTGTGCCCTCCATGCCACTGCCTCGAACCACATCCCACCGCGCTCTACCACGCCCTACCATGCTCACCATGCCCACCATACCCTACCACAGCACAAGTTGCCACACCATGTGCAGACGGATGCACATGCATGCATTGGGCGGGCCTAGCATGATTCACATGCGACAAGCGGGCCTGGCGCGACCACTGTCTTTGATAACATGGTAACCCTTCCCCACGCCATGGTAACCCTTCCCCACGCCATGGTAACACGCTGTGCCACGCCGTGCCACACGGGCACTATTCCGTGCCCTGCCACTCTGTGCCATTCGTCCACTTCACTCACTGCCACGCCGCACATGCATGCTGTGTGGCCTTCCCTTTGCTCCCGCACCAGGCATCTGCTGCGAGCTGACTTTTGAGTCGACTCAAAAGTTTGCACCGGGCATCTGCTGCGCCCGCGCCTGCATGCATGCGTGCGTGTGGGATGCACTGGCAGCATTCCTCCCCACGCACATTCTGCCATCCCTGCTCTCCTCCACCATAACTTGCGCTCCCCCCCCTCTCCGCACCATCACCCATGCCCTTGCACCTCCTGCTCCGACGCTCACACCTCCTTCCATCTCGCTCACCCTCCCACCCTCCCCGAACCGCCCCCCCACCCTTCCCACCACCCCTTTCCCCCCGCCCCCACACCAGTGGGTGTGGCAGGAGGGCGGGTGTTTGTGCGGCCATCGGGCACGGATGATGTGGTGCGAGTGTACGCAGAGGGCACCTCCCAGGAGGCCGCAGATGCCCTCGCACCTCCTGCTCCTATCGTCACACATCCTTCCATCTCACTCATTCTCCCCACACCCCCCCCCCCACATTCCACACATCAGCGGGAGTGGCGGGAGGGCGGGCGTTTGTGCGGCCGTCAGGCACGGAGGATGTGGTGCGCGTGTATGCAGAGGCAGCCACCCAGGAAGCCGCAGATGCTCTTGCTCGCACCGTGGCCGCTGCTGTGGAGCAGCAGTCCCCCGTCCAATAGGCAACGTTTGAGACGTCTCAAGAGTCGTCTGTTGTGGAGCAACAGTCCCCTGTGCCGTAGGCAGGGTGGAGAGGCGAGGGTGTGTGGCAGGCACGCGGGCAGTGCTGAGGCGAATGGGAGGAGGGGAGGGAGAAGAGGGAGGGCGCAGGGCGACGTGCATGGGATGGGAGGGTGACAGTGCTGCAAGGCAGTCTCTGGTGCACTTGTTGCACCTGTTGCACTGCAGCACGGGTGCACTGGTTCGCATGGGTCCATGCTGGTACCGTACCATGCCGGGTCTACGGTGTCGCATGGGTGGGCGCCCATTTGCGGCTCTTGGATTGGGAGGAGCCATGTGGTGTGGTGAATGAATGCATGCATGCATGCTCCAGTGGAAGTAGCAAGGCGATGGGCAAGGCTCTGACTGAGCGGATCCCCACCAGGGTCTCCCCTTCAGCTGTTGGTTCGGAAAGAGGGAGGGAGCAGAGCAGATTGTTGCATAGGCGAGGCGTAGATTATGGCACGCTTGTGGACCAGCCCAGCCCAATGTCTAGCATGGGCCTGGCCCGGCTGCTGTGCCTGCTCTCTGCTGCTCCCCCCAGAAACACGTGCTCAGTGTGCACTGGATGGACCTAGACTGTAGCTGTATGTTTCTACCAAGGATTTCCTTCAACCCATACCGTACTCTTGCATGCTCTTGCACTCTTGCACTCTTGCACTTGTGCACTCGTGCATGAATGAGCTCATGTACGAGCAGCTCTTTATTATATTACATCACATTACATCATCAGTGCATCCGGCCTCGGCTGAACTGAACCGTGCTGCGCTGTGCTCTACCCAGCCCCTTCCTCAAGCCACACACATCCATGTCAAAGCTCTGCATGCCGCCACATGCATCATCGCCCACCACAAACACATCTGCCTCCGCACACACTAGCTTATCCAACACCCCCCGTACCCCTCGGTCCAACCCACGCATATCCACCTGCTGCTTCCCCTCCTCCTTCTCCCCCTCCTCATCCCACACCACCGCTCTTAACTCCCTTCGCACATGCCAGTACGCCTCTGCCACATACCCCAGCAGCTGCTCGCCTGCTGCTCCCTCATGCGCCCACGAGTCACTCTGTAACCGCACAGGAAGGTGGGAGGGCTGGGAGGGAGCAGATATGGGTGAGAAGGATGGAGATGAAAGAGAGGAGGAAGGTGGAGAAGCAGGGGAGACGTCAGCAGCGAGGAAGACGGAGGAGGAGTTGAGTTTAGCGAGGTGGTGGCGGGTGGTGGTGACAGCGCTGGCAGCGCATGCCATGAGCCATGCGCGCACGGACTCTATAGGCGCTGTGCCCGTGCGCACTGCCTTGCTCGCCTTGAACGTTATGAACTCCAGCCGCAGATGCACCGCTGCGTACCGCCCTGCACCGCGCTCCCGCTCTTGCCCCATGCCCTCTCGTGCGTCACTTCTCAGCACCCCTCGCTGTCTGCTGTCTGACCCATCACCAAGCACTGCCACCATTGACCCTGCTCCTGCTGCGTTCCCCCTTTCACCTCCTGCTCCTGCTCCTGCTCCCACCTCTCCCCCTGCACCAGCCCCATCCCCCCCTTCCCCTCGTCCTCCTCCTCCCCTCATCCTGTGTGCGAACCTCTCAGCAGCGCGGTGCAGGTTGGGGGCGAACGCAAGGCACGAAGCCGCGCTTGCTCTTTTGTGCTCCCTGAGGGTGAAGAACCACGAGCTCTGCGCCACCACCACCACATCCACCTCCTCTCCTCCCCCCGCCCCACCCGTACCACTTGCACTACTCCCGTCACCGCCCTCAATCCAGCTCCCTGGCGCATCAACCAACACCCTCTCCCCCTGCCCCTGCCCCTGTCCATCCTCCGCACCCCTCCCTTCCCCTCCTTTCCTGCCTGCGCTCTCCATCGCCCGTAGCAGTGCGGCCTCTTCTCGCTCCATCTGTGCGCCCCAGCGCTCGCGGCGAGTGTGGTAGGCGGTGCGCAGGGGCAGGGCGTTGGCGGGCGAGGGCGGGTGGTGGGCGATGGCGAGCACTGAGAGGAAGGCAGGCGACCAGGGGGTGAGCGCTGTGCTGCATGTGTCGTTGGCGCCCGGGCTGGGGGGTGCAGGGGTGGAGGAGGAAGGGGGGAAGGGTGAGCGATGGGGACAGGGGGAGGGAAGAGTGGGGATGGGGGGGAATGGGTGGGTGCACGCTGTGGTTTGGGTGGTGTGGATGCCATGGGGCAGAGGTGGCCACAGGATGGGATATGCATGGGGATATGGATGGGAGTATGGATGGGGATAGGTTGGTGGGCAAGTTGGTCCGCGAGGTAGCGAGCTGATATGCTAGTCATCTGATGGCATGGCAAGTGCGTGCACAGAGATGGAAATCCATTGCACTTTGGCCAAAGCCTCCCCATAAGGAAAGCGAGGGCAGAAAAGCACACAAGGGAAAGAATAGACGACGTACACGAGTGCCAGAGAGGTCCCACCGGGAAGAGAGGCAACGAGGCAACAGCATGAAATGGAAGAAAAGAAGGGATGACTGAGAGGAGGTGAGCGAGGCTGGTGGGCGAAAGAGAGTGAGGGAACGAGGGGAAGAGGAAAACACTCGGACGTAGCCGGAGACAGGGGATGGGCATTGGGTAGGAGTGGGCACGCACACAAGGCAGAGGTACGTGGGGCGCACGGCAACACTACGCCGCCTCGCGTACTCCAGGAACCAGTCCTCCGTGACCCACTGCACGCCACAGCGCTGCAGCGCACTCGCGTCAAAGTAGGCGCAGAAGGGCAGGCGGCGCGTGAAGTCCACGCGGCTGTGGCCCACCCTTGGCACGATGAGCGTGCGGTTGAAATGCCGTGCCAGTGCGGCGAGCTCTATGAGGTGCGCCTTGGCCTTGCTCAGCTGCTCTGGCACTGCTGCTGCGTACAGGAAGGCGGTGGGCGTGGGGGAGGAGGCGGGGAAGGAGGAGGATGTGGCGTCCGTGCATGCCTGAGGGGTGTCGGGGGGGGGGGGGGGTGGGTGGGTGGGTGGAGGGAGGGAGGGAGGAATGAAGGGTAGGAGGTGTGAGGGGAGGAGAAGGGTGGGAGGGGGAGGGTGATTGGGCGTGAGGGGGCTGTGGAGGGGAGATGGGGGAGAGGCTGGGTGAGGGAGCGAAATGAATGGGGGGAACAGTGCGGGATTGGTCCGATTGGAGGCAATGGGGTGGGAGTGATGAGGACGAGAGCAGTGGCTGTGGCAGGCACATGTGAATGCAGCAGCTTCCGGCAACACACTGAGTCACTCACTCAGCTCTGCTGTGCTGTGTGGTGCCGTGCCGTGCTGTGCCGCGCGGTGCAGTGCAGTACAGTGCGGTACAGTGCGGTACAGTGCAGTGCATGCTCGCCTGTGCAGCAGCGCAGGGCTCACATACTCACCAGTTGCACGGTGGCATCAGTGGAGTGGTTCACACCGAACAGTGCAGCAGCCAGGGGCAGGCCCTCGTCGCACAGCCGCCCCATCATCCTCTCCACCTCCATCCCCACCTCCTCCCCCTTCCCTTCCTCCCCCTCCTCCCACCTCCCCTCCACCAGTAACCTCCTGCCATGCGCCTCATCTCTTTCCCCTAGCCCCGCCCCTTCCCGCTCACCGCCCCCATCCCTCTCACCACGACCCTCCCCCTCCCTCGCTGCCTCCTCCCCGTCCCCTCTCCCCCCTCCACCAAAGTGCCGCGTGACTTGCTCCCGCCAGGCAGGCGAGCACACGCCCTGCGCGTTCACTCGCACCACCCCACGAGATTCCCTAGTCGCTCCAGCCTGCACCGCCAATTCCGAATTTAGTCGCACAACCTCGCCCACGCCGGCACCCGAACCACCGTTCCCTGAGCCTGCGGCTACTGCTGAACCTGGCGCACCCGGAGCAGCCCCGGCGGCGGTGCTGTGCGGTGCAGAGGGGCGGGAGGCGAGGAAGAAGGTGAGGAGCAGGAAGCCGCAGAGCTTCGTTGCGAGCGACAGGAGCGCAAGAGACGCCACCAGCCGCGGCGACACGCGCCACCCGCACACCGTCCACCCGTTCGCGCTTCCGCCGCCGCCGTGCGCGCTGCCGTGCCCGTGGGTGGCGCTGCTGCCGCTGCTGGCGGCGGGAGTGGAGGGGAGTGACGCCGGCCTGGCGGGGACTAGAGTGAAGCGGAGGAACGACGAGAGGGCGGTGGAGGAGGCGGAAGGGGGCGGAATTGGGGGGTGGTCGGGGGAGGTGGGGTCGAGCGCGGGAGGGCGGGAGAGCGCGGACGACGACGACGACGCGCGGGTCGCGTGCCGGCGGCCGGCAGACTTGACGGCGGAGCCGATTAGCGGCATGTCGGTCATGGCGGGGAGGTGGTGGGGGAGGGGGATGGCGTGCGGCGCGGTGTGCGGGATGTCGGGTGTGTGAGGGGCGCGCAGCGGTGGACGGGGGAGAGCGGTGACGAGCGTGCGGACGAGGGGAGGGCGGTGTGTCGGTGTGGCGGTGGTCGCGGGGTAGTTTTGGTGGGAGTCATGCCACTACAGGGAACGACGGTGATGGTCGGCAGCAGCAGCCCCCGCCAGTGCAAAAGCCCGCAATTTGCACTGTCGCGAATGTCAGCCAACGCCCTTCTCCCTCTCCCGTGCAGCACAGACAGCCAACCCCAAAGATGTGTTTCTCGCCAAAAAGTGTTTCGCTCATCTATTTTGTGTCGATACATCTGTATGAATATTATTCTTCGGGCCTACACTACATCACACATTTGGACCTCCATCTTGCTCGCGACAGGAGGTTTCGTTGAGAGAAGTAACCAACTGCTTTCGCCTGTGCTCTGCTCTTCTCCTTTGCGTGCGGCACACGCACCCCACATCCACGTACCATTGAGCATTCCGCCCACCTCCAAAAGCAACACGAAAATCTTTCCAGCACCTCCCGTCCCGTCGCCATCGCATCTCAACATTCCCGTTCCTCGTGCCGTGAGTAGCATCCAGCGATTTCGTGTTCATTCAGTCCGCGTGTTTTCACCAACCCGTTCATCTGAACCGCGTAGGCTCGCCTCGACGATGAGCACCAGCGCGGGTGATGGCGGTGAGAGTGCCGCGAGGACCACCACCGCCAGCGGCGGCGGCGGAGGCGGCGGCGACTCGGACGCGTCGTGCTGGTACTCGCGCGTGGAGCGCCGGCAGTGCCGCGTGGTGCGCGATGAGGACGGCCGACCCGTGCGGGAGTGCGAGCGCACGCAGGAGGTGCTGCGCCAGTGCGTCGGCCGGTGAGTGCCGCGCGGGTGGTGGATGGCGCAGCGAGAGCGGATGCGATGAGAACGCGAGCGTGTGAGTGCGGGCGGGATGGAGCTTTGTTGTTGCACGCTGTGCCATCCCCGTGCTCTGCTGCTCTGTGCTGTGCGCGTCACGGCGCGGCAGTCGTCTTGAGAAAGATTATACAAGAAAAGTGAAGCAATCGCGGTTTGCGCCTTCGTGTGCTTGTTTTTCTCCCGGCTTCCTTAGCCGGGACCTCGACCAATGGTTAGAACGAGAGTTAGGATTCAGAGGTCGCGGCTGTGCGTTTCAACCGTCTTGTGCGAGTCCGCAGTCGTTACGCGTGCCGTGCGCTCTCAGGACCACTGCCTGCTCGCAGCTGAGCGCGTGCCCATGGGCGCGCGCTGTGCGCTCGTGGCGTAGGAATCCTTGGACATACGCTTGCGGGACGCGCGGAGCGGTCCAGTCGTTCGTTTCTCTCGTCCCTTCCCCTCGTTCTCCCCTCGCCGCTCCAACCGCTCACTCCCTCGAGCCCCGCCCTCGCCCCCTCCCGCTCCCCCCTATCTCTCCATCTCTCCCGTTCTCTCCGTGCGTGCACACCTTCCCCTCGCACGCAGCCCGTCTGAAGTCGTGGAATCCCGTTCGGAGGTCACTCGGGAGGAGCTCCCACCAGGCTCCGCGCTTTCTTCATCCTCCTCCTCCTCTTTCTCCTCCTCGTCCTCCTCCTTCTCCTATGGTGGTGGTGGCACCACATCTACACACCCTTCTCCCGACACGCCCTCCCTCCCGTCGCCCTTCTCTCACTTCCCCTTCTCGCTTCCTTCCCCGTTCTCCTCCCGCCCGCCGCCCTCGCTCCCCCCATCGGACCCCCATTCGTCTTCCGCACACCCCCCACCCTATTCCCCTTGGTCCTCCTCCCATCCCCACTCGCACCCCGGCGGCGGCCCTTCCCCCCACTCGCTGCCCGCGGACCTCCCCTCTCTCCCGGACATGATTCGCGCAGCAGAGCAGCTAGCCTCGGAGGTTCTCACCAGGTTCGGCATAAGTCCCCCAACCGGCTTCCCAGGCTCGGGAGACGGCGAGCAGGGGTCTGGGTCAGGAGCGGGTGGCTCGGGAGGGCCATGGTCGGTGTTCCGGTTCGGAACGCGCGAGCCATCAACGCAGATATGGGAGGATGAGAGCAGCGTGCTGGATGGCAGTGGCGTGGGCAGTGGCAATAGCGGCACGCATGACAAGGAGCAAGGGAGTGGGCAGGGCGTGGAGGGGGGTGCGGGAGATGGCAAGTGGGGGAAGTTTGGGAGGTGGAGAAAAGGGGGGGATGAGCAGGGGGGATGGGGATGGAGGGAGGGGCATGGAAAGCAAAAGGCAAAGGAGGAGAAGTACCGTGAGTTTGCGAAGGACTTTGAAGATGTGTAGTGGGATGTGCTGTGCATCAGTGTCAAATCATGTTTTTAAGGTACCTTTGTTTAGACATGTTAGTCAACATTGAGGTGCATAGTATAGAAGAGTACAGAAAGATTCTCGACATTCGTACGTGTACCCTCCTATTCCTAGTCGATCCCCATTCCGGTACTACTCTAAGATGGTATCACGCTAAGTTCCTTCCTAAACCTAGACTAACTCCTCAACTTCCTAGGAACGTTCCTGCCAACCCTCCCTCCCGCCCTCCCAACGTGTGTAGCCCAGCGTCTCTGTCAGCCAGCCGTCCCGTCTTCCTTAGCCTGCATTAGCACACGTCGAAGCAGCCGCCTGTGCAGCAGCTGTCGCGCCCCTCCCCCTCCCCCCCCTCCACCCTCCCCAGCGTCGGCCGCGCGCGCGCGCGCGCGATAACTGCACGCACGCTACAAGCGCAGCAGCCGCGAACAGCAGCAGTGCGTGCAGCAGCAGTCTCATGCGCACGCAGTAATAACCGCGCAGCAGCGGCCGTGCAGCAGCACCTGCACGCACGCACGCAGCAGCGGTAGCACGCGTGCAGCGGCAGACTCGCACGCAGCCGCGCACGCAGCAGCCGCCAGCAGCGCCAGCACTTGCAGCCGCCGGCACGGCAGCAGCAGCAGCACTAGCAGCCGCTAGCAGCGCTAGCCGCCAGCTACCAGCCGCGAGCAGTGTTACCGTAGCAACCACCAGCAGCGCGAGCACAGACAGCAGCAGCGCGCGCCTTACTGCAGCAGCGCGAATTGCTGCAGCAGCGAGCTTAAGTAGCAGCGCCTGGCTTACGTGAGCCCCGCCAGCCTGCCTACGCTCCACCTTTACAGCAGCCAGCAACCAGCCGCCCACATCCCCTCCCAGCCGCCCACAGCCCCTCCCAATTGCCCACAGCCCCTCCTAGCCGCTCACAGCCCCTCCCAACCGCCCACAGCCCCACAGCGCGCGCTTTACTGCGACAGCACGCACCCGCGCCTTACCTGCCTACGTTCCGCCCTTGCAGCCACCAGCCGTGCCCGTTGTCTCCAACACGCCTACTGCCATAGGCATCTCTAGCGGCGGCTGGCAGCCGCAGTTGCTTCTACTGGCGCGGATTAGGGTTAGTACCCCGACGTTACTGACGTTCCTAGCCCGTCTTACCTAGCCTACCGGTCCTAGTCTGGCTCCACTAGCTCCGTTTTCTCCTCACTCCGGACGTTCCTTGCCTCGAGTTCCTAGCTCCGCTCGCTCGCTCCGGCCGTTACTGGACTGTCTTTCCTAGCTCCGCTAGCTCCTCGCTCCGGCTTTCGAGAATGGCGTTCCTGGCTCCGTTCGCTCCTCCCTCCAGCCACTCCTAGCTCCACTCGCTCCTAGCAGTTACGATGGCGTCCTCTCGAGTTCTGCACTTCGACCCAGGCGGTCGTGCGATAGGCTTTAGCACGTGGCTCCGCCAGGCCCAGCGTCACCTTACGAGCCAGCGTCAGGGTGGCGCTACGCTGTACCCTTACGCGTCCGGCGCTCTCCAGGCCCCTACGCGCCCTAGTCCCCTACCTGCTGAGCCCGCTCTTTCTGCCGACACGCATGCGACGTACGACAGGCAGTTCTTGGCGCGTGACGTCTGGGACCCTCGCGACGCCGCTGACTGCCTCGCACTGACGGACCTTCTCCCACTGACTGAGGCCGCCCACTTCTCCCAGGTCGAGTCAGCAAAGGGGTGCTATGACGCTACTATTGCTCGGTATTCCACCCCTTCCTCTACCTCCCTCAGCCGCCTCCTCATGCCGTTTGTGTTCCTTGACCTTGGGTCGTTTGCGACTGTCTCTAACCTTGTGACTCACCTGCTAAGCCCTCGACACTAGCTACCGTGCAGCCTGCTCCGACGCCCAGCTTGTCCTCGCCACCCCCCCCATGTGGCTCACCCTTCACTGGTTCGTCACTCGCCTCCCTGGCCGCCTCTTCTCTGCCCGCGACGTGCTCCTTTAGAAGCGCCCAGTGATCTTGCGATCGAGATTCTTGAGAGCACTCTCACGAAGGTCGAAAGTAGCCTCCTCTTTGTTGCCTCAGCTACTGCTGCAGTAGTTCCCTGTCTTTTAGGTGTGTGCTGTGCCCCAGCTTCCACCTTCACTACTTCTCTTGCCACTGCTGCGTTGTCTTTGAGGAGACTGCAGCTGTTTCTGCCGCTGGAGGGCAGAAACGAGGTAAGGGAGGCAAGAGAGGGGGGAAGGGTGGTGGTGGCGATGGTAGCGGTGTGTTGGAGGTGGGGGTGGCGGAGGTGGTGGCGGTACTAGTGCGCCTGGAGGAGGCGGCACTGGAGGTGGTACTAGGCTTGCGGGCCCGACGGGAGGAGGTGCTTGCCCTGGTGGTGGGGAGGGAGCACAACAGCAGCCACAGTAGGGACAGCCGCAGGATCAGGGACTGCCGCAGCAGCAGGTGCAGCGGCAGTCACAGCAGCAGTTCCAGCAGTGGGGTCCTTCGCAGCAGTGGGGCCCTCCGAAGCAGTGGGGACCTGGTGGTCAGGGGAGCGTTGGCCACATCAGCAGCCCCACCAGCTGGGGGCCTCGTCACACTGGCCGCGACGTTGGCCCCTGCGACTACTGGTTCCAGACAGGTCCGGGTAGCCTAGCCTACTGGAGGTGCTCCGACCACTCTGCAGCGCGCTGCTTCCGGCGCCTCGATGATCTCTACCGTCGCCGACA